TGGGGTTATTCGATATTTCACGTAGATAACGAACGTACGTAATATAGCGAAAAGTGGTTCTCACCGAAAATTTTGCACCGATAAATCGGACACCTGGTAATTGCAGTGTATGCCGTCGCGGCGCTGACTACCTCGTGAAACATGGAGTTGGGACGGTCCGCCTCGGGCCATCTATATACGTATGTAATATGGAATATATATATAGACAAGAAAATATGTGAAGCCTAGTACATAGCCACGGCCTATGTGGTACATAAGATCGGTGGGTGATGTAACAAAGAGGTTGTTGACGAAAAGAGCCGAGTTTAGCCGAGCGGCAAAACTTCGGCGAGCCGCATAGGTTTCTGCGAGAAGATGTAGCCCGTCAGCTGCTAGGAGAGGACGCCGCCATTTTCAATTTTTACGCAACAACGGGTGACGGTGGGTGGGTGGAGGGGGGGTGCAGGGGGCGGAGGAGAAAGACGAGGAAGAAAATGCTGAAATAAATAGTTTTTTTTTTCCGCACGCCAGTTCATTTTTTCAAATAGAATAAATACGAACATTCCCGATTTATTAGGGGGATGGTTTAGCGGGACCTAAATAAATTTTTGTTCACAACACCTGCCAATGCCTGCCTCTGAAAGCTTTTATAGTTTCGATGGTCAGTTTCGTCGTGACCTTCGTCCTCGACGTCCGGCCGGCGAGTAGAAAGGGCAGAAACTATGATGATTATTCTTTGATACGCCTGTAAAGTCTTTCTCATTACGCAAAAGAATTTTAACGCCGAGAAGACGGAAGGTTACGATATATATATAAAAAAAAATAGGCACATACTTTGTCTCGGGTTTTTTTTTTTTTTCGTGACAAGTAATCCGGAAGTGGATACCGTTGTCGCGTTAATGGGAATCGCCAGGCGGAAAGGAATAGATTAGAAGAGGGGCACATCCGGTTTGTCGCCATATTGTTCCGTCGGTAATTTTTTTCTCTTTCCGCGCCACGTCCCTGACCCACGTTCGCCCTCCTAAACCCCCTACCTCACACCCACCCCTCCCCCTTTTTGTTTAACCCCTCTGGCCCTCTTGCGCCCCTTCGACGAACTACGCTTTAACTCGGCATAGCAACAGCGCCGATAGAGGGCTGCTATAAATAGATTGCCTGGTATTACAGTGTTGCCAAAACAACTGGCCCACGCCGGTCGCCAGCCGAAAATCCAAGGCCATCTTGAAACACCTTGCGACCCCGGCGAAGCCGACGATACGGCAACGTTGCCCCGTGAAAAGCCGAGGCTTGTCCGCTGTACATCCCCTTGCTCTGCACCCCTTCCCCTCGTCGCTCCCGAGCTACCTATATACATTACCGTAACCGTACATGTAATAGCGATGCATAGTCGGTTGAAAGGGGGGTGAGGCCGAGGAAGGGGAGGGGCACAAGC